TTACTGCATCCAGTTCAAAAGAAATTGAAAGTACCTCCATAACCACATTTAAGAGTCGATCACATCAATGTTTTGTGTGTGGATTAGTGACACATGGCAAGATGAGACGCCATGTCTTCAAGACACATTTGCCATGGTATTGGGAACCACACACGGCCTGTTGGAGCTGTGAAGTTCAAGTGGCTCAAGCCGGTTCTTTGGCGCACCGACATACAATGGAACATGTGGTAGAAAGTATCGTATTTGACGAAGACCGTATGCATCTTTGGTGCCAACTTATGTTAGAATCATTTTATCAAATTAGGTCATGGTTAGAATGTTCCACTCTTGACGATCTCTTAGACTATATTTTACAGAGAGAACTTTACTCTTTCGTCAAAAAACAATTTTCACCACAAAAACTTCAACTTTTGATCTGTTGGGCCGATAATTACTGTCCTTCATTAGTGCCGACTTATATTTGTAATCCACCAAATCATATCATTTGTTTATTCAACTGGAAAAAAATTGAAAACAACACGTTTAATAATTTCATGACTGATAGCAGTTCTATCCCGAGTAGGTGCTTACATAACCGAGCCAATTTCACAGTCAGAGGAACAACTTGTGTTCGTGGATAGCCATTTTCATCTAGATCAGATACTCAGAATGATGAGCCTAAGAATCTTTCAACACTTACAATCAGTAGTGGCACCTGGATGCTCTCAATGTTTCTATTATGGAGTGGCAAATTATGTTTTCCCATCAAGATGGAACAACTGGGCTTCTGACGTGGGCTTTGCCCGTGGTGTTTATGTTTCTTTCGGTATACATCCACATCTTGCTGCAGAAGACATATCCAAGAGGCAGATGGATCAACTGGACTCACTGACAGCCATTTATGTGTCGCCATAGGTGAAATAGGACTCGATTACACTACAACTTGTATTTGTCGTCCCTGTTGTAATCCTAGCAAGTGTAAAGAAAAGGCACGTCTTAATCAGGAGGAGTCCTTTGTACAAATGCTGCTCTTAGCCAGGAGGAAACATTTCCCTGTCATAATTTATTGCAGAGAATGCGGTGACGGTTCAGCCGCCAAACGTACTTTAGAAATAATACTTCACCATGATCTTGCAGACATGAAATTCTACCGCCACTGTTTTGAAGGAACTATTGAGGAGATGACTGCTTGGCAACAACTACCAACTATAATTTTCGGTGTATCTGGGAAATTCATTAGGGACAATACCGGTTTAGAAGTAATTCCTAGGATTCCGCCACACCAGCTTGTGCTTGAAACTGATTCACCGTTCTTATCCCCGTTCGCATGGTGCCCAGTAAACCACCCATGGAATCTTCCAGTGATTGCCATGGAAGTCAGTCGATTGAGGAACATACCATTGTCTGTGCTGATCTGGACCGTTAATGACAATGCTCTGAAATTCTTTCAGATGCCAGACAAAGAGAATAGTGTAGAACAGTAGCTATCTATTCTAGCGCATTGGATTAAGTTTCTGAAGAGGAAGAGACATATTTTATTCTTAGGAACGTTTATTTTGCGTATTTTAACTATATATCCTATCGTATTGGATTATGTTTGCAGAGAGGAAAAGACATATTTTATTCTAAAGACAGTTTATTTTGCGTATTTCATGAACTATGAATCTTTAATTGTATTTAAAGAAATATAGAACTTTTATAATGTGGATTTATGCATGAACTTTTATGCAACTGTATTTGTAAAATGAAACCTTGTTTATTCCGACATTACTACATGAATTACTTTTCACAGACAGTGCGTTATTTCTTTTATTTACCCCTGGTCTGGTTCTACTGAGATGGGACGATTGTGGTGCTGAACACCAATATATAGTACTGAACCAGTCCATGTTTTATATGTATCTCATCATGTATCGATGACGTAATACGCATAATGCTAGATTCGAACTCTTCACCTTTTAACCACCTGCGTTGATTGTTTATTGATATTATTGCTTGTCACCTGAATAAACTCTGGTGAGTTATCATATATTGTTCTTATATCATTATTATATGCTCGGATCTCACGACAAAACGTCTGAATGTGTTATGCCCCGCTGCAGCGGAGGGGGCATTAGGTGTTATCCTTGTCCGTCCGTAGTACCGTCCCAACAATTAGTTTCCGTTCTCTAATTAATTTTGCATCAACCAAATGTTATTAACCGTATTCACAAAGCTTATTACCATAAACATAGATCAAGTGCGAATTTGGGTGGCGCCACTTTTACCGTTCTTGAGTAATAACCCTTTATAACGTTATAAGCAAGCGGGGCATTATCTATGTCCTATGGACTCATACTCCATTTATTTGGTTAGATTCAGTAGTTCACAGGAGGTCTCAGTAAAATCATACATTTAAGATATCTACAGCAGTTGGATGTGTTGGCAAGGTGGCTAGAGCTTCAGCGATACAAGTAAATAGCTGTGGCGGACATTAAAGAAAGCGTAGAAGACGAACTCGAAGGCGTAGACAGAACGGGCGCCGAGATATCTAGGTAAGGCAGTGGCTGACACGGCGACAATTGTATGCGCGACTTGCAGGAGCTCAACAAGGAAGATCTCGATGGTTATAAAAACGTCCTCAGAGTGGACGATGATATGTTGTGGGAGGTTTTACTACTTTTTTCTTAAAAATGACGAGATTTGTCACCTGATTGGTACTTATGATGGATAGCAAAATAAAGTTCTACCATCCCCTTTTCCTTGCAAATTAAGCTTACTGTTTGTGTCATATATGTGCATATGCATGTAATATAGATACAATGAATAAGCGTTGATTCTTGAAAAAAAAATACCATGAGCCCGGAGGGCGAATGGTTTGTTTTTCATGAATCAACGCTTATCCATTGTATCTGTAACTTAAACTATTGTGTTAATGTCTTTTCAAAATTAAAGCCTTTTCTTAATTAGAAGGTATTGTAAGTCAGTTTAAATAACCATGGTATCATGTTCAACGATGTATAACTAAATATAAGATCACAACTAATTGGTTAGATCAAATACAAATAAAACACTACACGTCTACCTTTAAATTATCAGCCATCTGAATATTATCTGTGTTTACAAAAAAAGACATATTCGAACTTAATTCTAATAAAATTTAGAATGGAAATGGGGAATGGAGAGACAACAACCTGACCTAAGAGCATACATAAAGTATATATAATAAGTATGTTACCGAACTTTCAAACAAGAAGCTTAATTCTAGGCACATAGAAATTTGCGAATAAACATTTGTAAAATTATGTAGTAAAACAGATGAAATCTTACTATATTTATAAAACAAAAATGGACAAATTAAATGTAATCATTTTCGTTTCAAATATGTGAAATAGCCAATAATAATCCAAAAATAAATGATAAAACTCGCTATTATTACAAAAATATCCACAATTACATACAGAATAAGAAAAAAAAAACAGAAAAACTAAAGAATAGTGACAACAAAGAGAATACAGGGATTCGAACCTAAACCAACAAGTCCCAACCTTTAACCTGACTCTTTTACTCATTGATCTTAACCATGCTAACCTCGCGGCTACCAGCTTAAACTATACGATTGCCTATTATGTATATATAAAGGTACAAGCTCTGTGTGTCCGTTGTACCGATGTATATCATATGTTCATTTATATATATATAAAATAGACACTTAAATTGTAACCAATTGGTAGCCGAGAGGTTTCGTCGATATGTTGATGTCAGTCACACATAACAGATTTCAAGGACGGGTTCGATTTCTAGTAAAGGCATATGAAAATTACAAAAATTAAAGGTAAGTTTTAAATTAATTCCATTAGTGAACAGAAATCAGTAAATTAGCTAATTCAAAGTTAATGAAATTAGGCACACAAAGGAAACAATTGAATGTAATTGATGAATCCATTTCAGCGACATATTTAGAAAGCGTTGATTCTAGAAAAAGAATCCCCGGTAAATGAATAGGCAGACATCACGGCAATGGTTTTAGGAATCAGAATCTTCCATAGATTTCATATCCAGTAGTTGAATGGTTAAAGCTTATTTCTTTTTGGTGTATCCATGGCAAAAACTTGCATGTATTTGCTAAAACATATTACAAATAGGAATAAAGATGTCTCATATTTCCCCAAAATATGGCTAAAAGTGAAATTTGACTCCCTTGGAGTGATACTTTTGTTAAATTGCGTCAAACAGTTCGTGTGAAAAAAAGTGTTTGTAAACATTTGGCCCCGCCGCATTTTTGTGTCTGCCCCAAGTCAGGAGCCTCTGTCCCTTGTTAGTCTTGTATGTTTTATTTATATGTTTTGGAGTTTATATAAAAAAGAAGATGTGGTATAATTGCCAATTAAACAACTCTCCACAAGAGACCAAATGACACAGACATTAACAACTATAGGTCACCGTACGGCCTTCAACAATGAGCAAAGCCCAAACCGCACAGTCGGCTATAAAAGGCCCAGAAATGACAATGTAAAACAATTTAAACGAGAAAACTAACGGCCTAATTTATGTACAAAAAATGAACGAAAAACAAATATGTAACACATAAACAAACGACAACCACTGAATTACTGTCTGGTTTTGTTTGTCGTTAGTTTGGTGTCTCATTGATAAATACATTACGTCTTGTAGACGTTACCTGATCCAGTAGACAAAGTATAAATGTTACATCAAAATAAATCACATAATCTCTATCAATGGATACAACACTTACCGGGCTTATATTTGTCCCTATTTGATTAAACTGTTTCTGTTTCTTCCTGGCATTTACTGGATCTATACCAGTCAACTTAACCACACTCCTCACAAATATGTCGGCATTAGCGAAGTAAATAGGTGCTTGAAACTGAACTGTTCTAACATGGTCTGGTACAATAACCTGCAAAGGGATAGACATTTACTATTTGATTGTACTTGTATGTTTATATAACACAAACGTTGAAGCCATTTAGACCATATCCTTTGAGTATTTTAAACTGGATATTAAAAGCAGACAAGCCTTAATCAGTCCTCTGTGTATTTATTGTATTAGAAGTGATACTTACGGGATCATATCGGTCGACTGATTTTAACTGATTTGTCTTCCCAACAAATCCTAGTGTATATGACGAAGGACTGAAAATAAATATAACATAGACTGTTAAATTTTATATCTTCACACAAAGTGTGCTTGTGTAACCATACATCTTGCAGAAAGAAAAATCATTCTATATTTCGTCATAATATTTTAAACCTTAAACTTCTTTTCATTGCCATATTTATAAGGTTAAGGTTTCATTTTGATCATATAAAAAATTAAATTGAATGCCATGTAAATGTAATAGTTGTCATAGCTCTAAGCAGAGCTACATTATATTATAATTGTTCTAAATTAAAGTAATAATACTAAATAGGCTGTGTGTATAATATTAAACAGACTTTGCAGTCCTATTTTATTTTAATCACTAACCTCTGTGTTCGTTATGATACTGTTAATAGAGAAAATATCAGACTTGAAGCTATGCCAATATCTACATCAAGAATGGATGAGGTCAGAAAGGTCACCATCCATATAACCTGCAGAAAAAATACAAGCAACATTATCAGTCTATTTAGCTTAACTGCACTTGGACAAATCGTTCAACTTTACAAATAAGGAAGCGTAGTAGTATTTCCAATAACACAACTATCTACCAGAGTCTACCTTTTAGGGGAATTCAGTTACATGTAGCTATGTTTCCATTCTAATATGCAGAACAATAAGTTTTAACTTATGATTATACTTGAATTAGGAATTGTTACTCCTAGTCAAGAGTTTGGCTGTATACCATCTATTTCTTGTTTAGTCTGTATCAATATAATTGACATGGCATAGTTGTTCTTACAAATTTGATATGGGGGTGTTTTGGTTTCTTGTATAGTTGAGCGATCTATATTGATAGCTTATTTGCTGTTTGTTTGAGATACAGTGGCAACCATTAATTTAACATTAAGGACGAACATTTTATTTAAAAAATCAATCAAAAATGCGGGATTCGTAAATATGATCGACCAAGATGAAAGCCAAATAATTGAGAAGGCCATTTGAAAAAGATGAAATTTTAAATTAGGGCTGACATTTTGCCTTTCAACAGGCCATCCAAGAACACCTCTGAGAGTAGAGCACGAGATATTACATCCCGCATAGGCAAACGAGCGCTACTCTTAAGCATGGTTTTTGTTCCAGAACGAGTTAGAATTTGTATGTAAAAGCTTGACAAATTTGATATATATAATCTGTGTTCTTCCTTAATGGACTTTTTTTAATATATACATGTACCAGCTTTGATAAGTGTTTAGTATGGCTATAAATTTTCACTTCTGTTTCTCGTACCATGAAAAAATATTTCCGTTCTCCATTTATACTGTATACTTTACAACACAATTATTTTCTTTTACCTTTGTACATTATTCTATTTGGCGGCAAGGTTATTTGTTCAAGGTTATGGTTGACTTTCTGAAATTATTTCACATCTCACAGCGGTATACTACTGTTGCCTTCATTTATTCACCCCTTAGTTTATTGATTTTGCATTTACATTGTGTCATAGATCAAATTTTTTTCGTTCAGTGTATGTTCACTTGTGTTAATATGTCTTTTGATTGAGTTAAGCCATTTAATTGATATTTTACAGTGTGTTATATGTTGTGATGTTACACTATTGTTTCGATTAATGATGAAGGTTGGTACCTATTTAAACGTTTAACACGCTTGCACATGTTTGCACCTGTCCTATAGTAAGTCAGGAACCTGATGTTCAGTAGTTGTCGTTTATTGATGTAAATCATAAGTGTTTCTCGTTTCTCGTTTTTTATATAGATTAGATCGTTGATTTTCCCGTTTGAATGGTTTTACACTAGCCATGTTTTGGGGCTCTTTATAGCTTACTGGTCGGTGTGAGCCAAGGCTCCGTGTTGAAGACCATTCTTTGATCTATAAAGTTTTTTTCTTTTATAAATTATGACTTGGATGGAGAGTTGTCTCATTGGCACTCATACCACACCTTCTAATATCGATTGACTATAATACTTGTATAATAGACCAACATACTTGGTATATAGTTATACGTTTTAGATTTTACTTACAAAATCATACTTTGATGTGCGCCACAGTGATGGTACCTCTAATATCTGAAGATACATTGTCCTTAGGTTTATGATTATTACTGCTGACAAAACACACTGTAAAATGAAATCTTTTTTCAAAGACATCCAATTAATACAATTGTAGGTTGTCTGTCCATTTCTGTAAGCCCTAACCAATAACAGAAGTAACCGTGTATATAGACTACGTGTAGTTTATATATTTATCGGATGAATAGAAAATATTATAGTTATTAATAAGGACAAAAACTCCTTTCAAGTCTGAATAAAAATTCTGGACCAATAGTTGCTCTGAAGTATGAAAGTCAAGTTAACTGACTGAGTACTGTTTTCAAATTACGTGACGTACATTCAGCTTCATTTCAGAAAATTAATATACAGAAACGTCTATATGATGGATAATGAGCATCCTACCTTTGGCAATGAGTAAAACAATGGTCCAATTGCTAATATCATGATTATGACAATAACACATCCCACTAAACAGGCAATCTATAAAATATTATATTAATTATTATTTATACGTTTGTTTATTTTGTTAAAATAACTTTCCATTGAAGATTATTATTTTGGATGTACAATGTACGTGTTATTTTCACATAGTTAAGTCTTCATTTACACGCCTGTGAATCTTCCAAATCAAATTCAGATGCTGAACGTGAACAAAAAGGAACCTGTAGTGGTTCCTGGTTGCGATTATTGAGTTGTATCAGAATGGGAAAACAAGAAGGTAAATGTAAAAATACTGTTCAATTTGTTCAATCTATGCTTTAACCCAAAGAAAGAAATATTATTGTGAACAGATACCTGGGATTTACCGTTCGTACCATCCAGTACCATAGTTCTTGATAATGACCCTGCATTGATGTATCCAGAGAAAATCGAACATACAACGCTCCCAGCTCCACTTGAAACTAACTCCTATGGAAATAATTATGTCTCATTTTACTTTCTCAATATCTTTAATTTATGTACGTTTTCTTTACAAGCACTTTTTTTCTAATTTCACATAATCATATAATTCTATAAAGGTAAGTAACATTGGCACTCATGTGTATGGAACTGATAATTCTCCGATTTTGATTTACCATCATTCCAAAACCTCATCTTCTCTGGAATTAATGCTGACTACTAGTATATCAATTTGATTAAAATACAGATGCACCGTAATTCGCGTGCATGTTGCAGACCAAATATTGAGTAACTTTTATACACGGATTAATGTTGTTTTTACCACTACATAGCTCCTCATCAAATGTTATATTCGTGGAGATCTTGGTACTATTTCATATGTAAGATCCTACTCTGCATTGTATTCTGTTTGAATGGCAAAAAACTTGGCCGCAGAAGAACTCTTTGGTTATGATTGGTTTGTTTTATAAAAGTATTCTCTCAACTAACTATATAGCTATTAAATATTTGTGAAACATTATTGTTTATCAGATGGAAAGCATTAGTGTGCCGGTCACATACAGTTAATATTAAACTAAACGAAAAATAATATTTCAATTTTTTTTCTGAAACACAACGCCGCATCCTGTTGGGATAAAGCATGCAAGGTATTCTATATGAATAAACAGAGCCATCCAATACTAAATTTGACATAGCGGCCATCTATTGGTAAGTACTTGGTGTGTACATAGCCAGGCTCATATGATCGACTGGTTCCTTACCTGGTTAGGATCAATTTCATAATTATGTTTCCTTGCCAGAAGTCTGGCGCCAGATACCGAATGGGTGAATGCCACTATTCCTATAATGAAAGCGTCCGCTATATTCCCTGTAGCTAAAACAGGGTTCGGTAATACTGGTGATGGCAACCTGAAATATTTTACATTTCAAGATAGTTTAAATTACGCAATTATAATCAGTGTGAAACTAAGGTAGATGTTCTTCAGTTATTTTGTAATAATTTTGATATACTTAAACTCGGTGGCGACATGTAACAGTTCTTGTCCTTTTATTACTTTAATTTCAAATAGATTGTATTGCACAAAACAGATTAGAAGTAATTTACAACAATAATACAAAGTAATTAAATAAATATCAATACTATCACCGATATGTATATTGTTAAAATACTACTTATATTCTAAATCGTATACCAGGGATATAGTTTGCACTAACTTGGTGTTGTTACCATTCGCGAAACATTTTAAAAGTGAAATTAAAGTCGTTAACTAGAAAAATGAAATATTTAGAAACAAACGGAAGACACTAAGTCGAACGAAAACTGACAACGCCATGGTAAAAATAGAAAGACAACGAAAAGATAAACAGGTCCACAGAACATTACATAATAAATTAAAGCAATATGGACCCCACCGAAAACTGGGGATGCTTTCAGGCACTCCAGATTGATAATTAGATCTTGTTCCACTTATGGCACCCGTCATACTACCGAGTCATGTAATTAATATAAAAAAGATGTGGTATGATTGCAAATGAGACAACTCTCCACAAGAGACCAAATGACACAGAAATTAACAACTATAGGTCACCGTATGGCCTTATTAAGGCGAGAATGTTAAGAAATGACTGATTTGAAATCGATCTTCTTACTCTAATACCGAATGGTAAGCCAGAAGTTAGATAATTTATGTTTGACAAATTATACATTATGTATACATTACCCTGCTGGAATATATTTTAAAATGTTGATGCTGAACCTCTGATTGAACTCTGCGAAGTGAGCTATTACAGTTGCTATGGATATTTAAAAGAAGGCACATATATGGATTGATTATTTGTTTTTATTTGATACATAACTATATATATAGGTGCAAATCTCGCAATATCTACTAGTAAGAAAATATAAGTGCTTTGAAGTATTTAAGTACATGAATCATGTTTTGTTTTACTTACGACTATCTTTAAGATTTTATTTGTGTCGTTGGGTTGCAGTCTAATCAACCTATACCCACCGTATTTGTTTATTCACCTTTGGCGCAATAGCAAGATAACATACATGTATAGTGTATCTGTAAAGCATCAAATTTTCTTTAATTCACCAAATATTGATACATCCATTTTTTACTGGGCAACTCAACATCATATAAACAATAGAGTGGTGTATGCTTATTATCGTTAACTTAATTAATATGAATATGATTGAATCAATTTAAGTTACTCCATTTTCTGTTTTACTTACAATGATGAGTTCTATAGGAATGGGCATCTTCAGTATAGACTTAAATCGCATATTAATTTGAACTTTAACGATATAAAGAATGATGAAACATATCACAGTTGTAATGAGTGTGGCAAGGTTAGTGGATGGTATGTTGTAATAAACATCTCTCCAGGTCTGAAATAGGAAATAATAAAGTATATATAGTAACATATATACAAGTTTAAATTGAAAACATATATATTTATATTTGGCAATCGCCAATGGCAGTCAGCAGGGTTTAAGAACATCAGTTGTTCGACCTGCTAGTTAAATGCGTTTTGTTTAAATATACTTTTTCACTCATCTGGTCTTTTGGAAAATGTTGTTTGTGCTATACTTAGACCCCTCTACCAAGAAATTTGTTTTGCATGCACATGTATAGAAACTGCGGTTTTTATCCAACGCAATCATAGGTTTGAACGTTGTTTTCAATTTAGACTTTTATACATTTTTTCGTTTGGGCTTGTATTATATTTTCCTTCGGGTTTATATGATCCGTTCATCCTATTTCGACTCTTTAAAATTCAAGAGTCTATCCTAAATTGAGGTAAATTATATGGCCTTCCAAATACCGTTTCGATCCCTAGCATCACTGAAGAGACATTAATTGTCGAAATCCGGATATGGTGTACAAATTTTTGCACCTCATGTTTGTGGTATACCATCTTTTCCACAAGTTTATTGTTTTCTGTTTGGTATTTAATTAATATCAAGATCCATTTCGTTAGATCTGGTGATCAATTTATTTGGCAATCGCCAATGGCAGTCAGCAGGGTTTAAGAACATCAGTTGTTCGACCTGTTAGTCAAAGGCGTTTTGTTAAAATAGACTTTTTCACTTTTTTTGGTCTATTGGAAATTGTTGTTTGTGCTGTATTTAGACCCCTCTACCAAGAAATTTGTTTTACATGCACACGTATAAAAATTGCGGTTTTTATCCAACGCAATCATAGGTTTGAACGTTGTTTTCAATTTAGACTTTTATATATATATATATATATATAGATTGCCTAACAATGTAATTTTAACACACTATTTAGTATGTAAATATAAGAATGTTTAAAATATTTACAAAATGATGAAAATAAACGCAATATTTCGCTAGACTAACTAGCTTTATCAAGCGTGCATCTATCCAGGTGAAATCGGAAGTAGATGATAAGAAACTTTTGCAGCTCAATGTATATGTTGCACTTGAATTTAGCTGCCTTGAAAATAATACATAATTTGGATGAAGTTCAAGATTTTTACAAAATTGGTAGTTGAAGTTAGCAACGTCCATTGTCCAATATTACAGGATAAAAAGGACGATGCTGTGTACTAAATTATTCTTTATCTTTCCTGTATCTTTTCTCATCTTTTTCGTTAAGACCATCAGGTTCTAAAGTGTGGAGTTGGTGGATCCAAAAATTTTCTCTTCTCCTTCTCGCCGTGGTGTCTCACTCGGTGTTGACTTCTATGATTTGGAAGGTAACATTATCAAAAGAATGTTTCGTTGAACGAAGATGTCTTGTGAGAGGACAGTTTTTGTTGGTTTTGTACCATGAACGATGGTTATTGAGCCGAATATTAAATTTGTCCATTGTTTCTCCCACATACTGAATGCCACATGTGTCACATGTTAATATATAAATTGAGTTCTCCGTTTTACAGTTGGAATTTGAGTAGATGGTAAAATTTTGTTTAGTAACGGAGCTGATGAAAGAACTGCTTGTATTGGCAGCTTTACAACACAAGCAGTTCCTTCGACCACATTGTGTGTAGCAACCGGGAGATGGAGTAGGCTGCTTTGCTAATACAGATGTCACTAATTTGTCACGGATGTTTTTAGGTCTTCTGAAGGCCATGACTGGTGGTGAGGAAAATACTTTTTTAAGATTTGAATCATTTTCTATAATTTTCCAATGCTTCTGAACAATGGAAGACACATTTTTAAAATCAGGATGGTAAGTGAGTACAAGGGGTTTTCTGTTAGCTGCTTTATTCTTATCTTTGTACTCTAGAAGTTCTTGGCGACTAGTTTTGTTTGCTCTTTCGAAAGCGCTATCAATGATGTTGTTATTATATCCTCGAACAACTAGATGTTTACGTAGTTGTCCAAGTCTAGCATTTTGCGTATTTTCAGTAGAGCATATTCTCTTGATTCGCAATGCCTGGCTGAATGGGATGCCACGGGAGCAGTGTTTAGGATGGCAACTTTTAGGAGAAAGGAATTGATGTTTGTCCGTTTGTTTGGTATGAAGGTCCGTTATAATGGTTCCGTTCTTGATGTAACTCGTAGTGTCGAGGAAGTTTATTTTCTCCATAGATGATTCATATGTAAATTTTATTGAATGGTGGAAAGAGTTACAGTGTCCTAGAAATTCATTAAGATGTTCTTGTGAATCTGTCCATTTGAAATCAATATCGTCAATGAATCGGAACCATGATAAGGGCTGGTATGGAGCACTAGAGAACAACAACTTCTCTTTCAATGAAAAACATTATCTCCAGATAGACGGTACTAGTATGGGCACAAAAATGGCCCCGTCATATGCCAACATATTTATGGGCCAACTTGAAAAACGCCTCTTGGCTAGTGCTCCATACCAGCCCTTATCATGGTTCCGATTCATTGACGATATTGATTTCAAATGGACAGATTCACAAGAACATCTTAATGAATTTCTAGAACACTGTAACTCTTTCCACCATTCAATAAAATTTACATATGAATCATCTATGGAGAAAATAAACTTCCTCGACACTACGAGTTACATCAAGAACGGAACCATTATAACGGACCTTCATCACAAACAAACGGACAAACATCAATTCCTTTCTCCTAAAAGTTGCCATCCTAAACACTGCTCTCGTGGCATCCCATTCAGCCAGGCATTGCGAATCAAGAGAATATGCTCTACTGAAAATACGCAAAGTGCTAGACTTGGACAACTACGTAAACATCTAGTTGTTCGAGGATACAATAACAACATCATTGATAGCGATTTCGAAAGAGCAAACAAAACTAGTCGCCAAGAACTTCTAGAGTACAAAGATAAGAATAAAGCAGCTAACAGAACACCCCTTGTACTCACTTACCATCCTGATTTTAAAAATGTGTTTCCATTGTTCAGAAGCATTGGAAAATTATAGAAAATGATTCAAATCTTAAAAAAGTATTTTCCTCACCACCAGTCATGGCCTTCAGAAGACCTCAAAACATCCGTGACAAATTAGTGACATCTGTATTAGCAAAGCAGCCTACTCCATCTCCCGGTTGCTACACACAATGTGGTCGAAGGAACTGCTTGTGTTGTAAAGCTGCCAATACAAGCAGTTCTTTCATCAGCTCCGTTACTAAACAAAATTTTACCATCTACTCAAATTCCAACTGTAAAACGGAGAACTCAATTTATATATTAACATGTGACACATGTGGCATTCAGTATGTGGGAGAAACAATGGACAAATTTAATATTCGGCTCAATAACCATCGTTCATGGTACAAAACCAACAAAAACTGTCCTCTCACAAGACATCTTCGTTCAACGAAACATACTTTTGATAATGTTATCTTCCAAATCATAGAAGTCAACACCGAGTGAGACACCACGGCGAGAAGGAGAAGAGAAAATTTTTGGATCCACCAACTCCACACTTTAGAACCTGATGGTCTTAACGAAAAAGATGAGAAAAGATACAGGAAAGATAAAGAATAATTTAGTACACAGCATCGTCCTTTTTATCTCGTAATATTGGCCAATGGACGTTGCTAACTTCAACTACCAATTTTGTAAAAATCTTGAACTTCATCCAAATTATGTATTATTTTCAAGGCAGCTAAATTCAAGTGCAACATATACATTGAGCTGCAAAAGTTTCTTATCATCTACATCCGATTTCACCTGGATAGATGCACGCTTGATAAAGCTTGTTAGTCTAGCGAAATATTGCGTTTATTTTCATCATTTTGTAAATATTTTAAACATTCTTATATTTACATACTAAATAGTGTGTTAAAATTACATTGTTAGGCAATCTATATATAATATATATATATATATATAGCTAATTAACTTGATTTAAAAACTCTCCTTTCTTATTTTAATAATTTACTGATTTTTATGTACAGTGGCGGATTCAGCGTGTTCAAGCCGCGAACGCCACTTTGATTGGTAAATTATGTATGAATATTTTTTGGCATTAAACTGTTTTAAAAAATCAGTTTCCTTGAATTACGCCCCCAACCCCTTAAAAAATCATGGATCCGCTCCTGATGTACACGCAGTTTGAATGCAACACTATAATACTTCTAGTAACATAATTTGCCGTAACCACAATCCCTTCCCATTTTCCTTGATTATGACATTACCGGGTGTGATTTATACCGAATGTTTTACTTGCAGGAGTAACATGACGGGTGTCACATGTTGAGCAGTCACTTTTATCCCTTCCTGAACACTCACCTTTTGAGGCAGGGTTCGTGATGATCAATTTTTTGTTTTCTTTTGGTCATGGTACATGTGTATTGTCTGTTTCAATTGAAATTATAGATTTTGATTGCCCCTTGTTTTCTTTATTCAAACTCACGGCAAGAATGATTGAACAAGACTGAATTGTACGTTGAAGATGTATATGAGTGTCCTCGCTTTTCCGTGCAAAAGTAGGTTATAAATCTAAGCGAAACATGTGGTCTGTATCTCAGCCTTATTTTCATCGTCAACAAATCCATTTTTATTCTTCAGGCATGAAGAAAATCTGGTTCGGATAAGTGCGTGTATTTAAGAACGGATTGACGGACATGGGTAACACTATAATGACGACCAATTAACTGAGCTGTATTGGCATGACAAGGGTTTTAAATTATGGAACCCTACCTTTATGACCTTGAATATGCCATTATGTTGAGGCACAGAGATGCCAAAAACATGTTTCGCCTGACTCGTTGTGATGTGTATTGCCACTGCTGCAGTAAATCCACTAACCAACTGCTCGGACATATAAGTGGAGATCAACCCAAACTTTAATTTACCCAAAAAAATCAGAAAATAATATTTGAAGCGTGAATACATTAGATTTGATTTTATTTTTGTTCATGTAGCAGAACAATTTTTTCAAATTCTTGTATTAACTGATTACATCATCAGTTGCTTTATATGCAATAATTCACCAATATAAATTAAGGAGATGTGCTATGATTGCCAATGAGACAACTATCCACCAAAGTTCAAATGAAGTGGATGTAAGCAATTATAGGCAACCGTACGGCCCTCAACAATGAGAAATATGACACAATTCAATTGAGAAGACTAACGGCCTAATGTATTACGTAAAAATTTACGAAAAACACATTATTTAACTAGTTAGATATAAAAGGTATTATTATAAAGTGGATATTAACATATAAACAATAAAAGGTGTTGGTTATGTTGTGTGTAATGTTGTCTGTCTTTTCGCCGTTTTTCTTCTTTTTTTTTTTTTTGCCATAGCCTTGTCAGTTTGTTTTCGACTTATGAGTTGAATATCCATTTGGTATCTTTCGCTTCTCTTTTAGGTGAATAACATTAAGAAAAAGTAATAAACAATTACTATATTGTTACCATGATTAGCCCAGACACGAATGATAATGACGTAGCTATCTCTATTTTTCGTGTATTAATAATTTCATCTGTTGAAGAATTTGTTGAGTTTGCTTTGATAACATACAGATTGTTTTCTTGCATTGCAACATCAATCACTGAAGCCATCATCAGACTGACTACGGCTACTGCCCCTAATAAAAAAATAAATAACATTAATCAACATCAAACAAGCTCCGACTACTGCTCCTAATAACAAAATAAATTACATTTATCAACATCAAACTGGCTCCGACTACTGCCCCTTATAACAAAATAAATTATATTTATCAACATCAAACTGGCTCCGACTACTGCACATAATAACACAATTAAAACATATGTCAGCATCAAACTAAATCTGGTTACTGCTAAGAATAACAAAACGAATAGCACACATGTATATCAACATCAATCTAGCTCCAGCTACTGCACCCAAAGACCAAAAAAAATAATTCCATTAAAATATTCCGGCTACTGCACATTAACACAGTATTGATAACATATATGAGATTCACTCAGACTCCGGCTACTGCTACATGTAATCTCAATTAACAACGGCTATTGCATTTGATGATAAGTCAATAAAAGGTTGAGAACGTAAGCTAAAACACCCAAGTTAACAAATCAATTATAGCTAAAATGCAAATCTATATGTCGTATACCTGAATTATTAGACAGGGAATCTTCGAAGGTTGGTTTCAGAAAGAATTATTGTTATTCAAGTTTGACTTCTTTCGTCAGACTTTAAGGCGCATGGAGAAAGGGGTTTGTCCAAACGAGTATGCGGGATGTATAAATACGCAGAAAGTTTCAAAGGACCAAAGAAGGCAGTGTACCGTCATTCCACATATCGGTGGCAGTGTTGTCAACAAACCAAATACCATGCCTATAATAAAAAGAGAAGGCAGTGAATATTCAACATATCGGTGGCAGTGTTGTCAACAAACCAAATACCATGTCTATAATAAATGGAGAAGATAGTGCACATTCCACAAATCGGAGGCAGAGTTGTCAACAATCCAAACTTTAGGTTATAGGAAGATGTGGTATGAGTGCCAATGAGACAAATCTCCATCCAAGTAACAATTTATAAAAGTAAACCATTATAGGTCAAGGTACGGCCTTCAACACGGAGCATTGGCTCACACCGAACAGCAAGCTATAAAGGTCCCCAAAAATTACTAGTGTAAAACCATTCAAACGGGAAAACCAACGGTCTAATCTATATAAAAACGAGAAACGAGAAACACGTATGAACTACATAAACAGACGACAACTACTGTACATCAGATTCCTGACTTAGGACAGATGCAAACATTTGCAGCGGGATTAAACGTTTTAATGGTACCAAACCTTCTCCCTTTTCTGAAACAATAGTATAACATCACAACATAGAAAGACACACTATAAAATATCAATTGCAAGGCTTAACTCAATCAAAAAACGTAAATTAACACACAATGAACGAATAAATTTGATCTGTGATACCTGAATGCAAATACATAATTAATAAAAATTATAAGGGATAAATAATTAAGGTCAAAAGTAAATAAACAGGTTTAAACAAAGTTAAAGTTTGATACCACTGTGAAATGTTAAACAATATTTAGAAAATCATCACTTTTGAAAAAAACCTGCGTCATATTATACACAGGTAAATGAAAATAATTTTGTTGTTAAGTATACTTCTTCTTCTGTGTGTATAAAATCTTCCGTTTAAGAATACCAAGAAATTTCTTTAATATCAATAAAGCTAATATAACACTTGGTACATATGGGGTGAATATCAACAATAAAACATACAATTAGTGCTAGATAAAACTTCCTGTACAGGTGCAAGAACAGTATTTAAGGAGAAATGAAATAATTTTGATGTTCATAGTACGAAGAAGTGAAAAATTGTAGTAATTCCAAATAATCAAAGCTGGTATAAAGACAAGATCCATGTTAACATTTAATAACAAAAAAGCATTACAAATAGTATCATCAGGTCAAATTAACAAGAAAGTACGATTTGAGAGTACTCGCAGTTACTGAGAGCTAGTTAAAAGCCAAAACAATTAATAATAAAAAATCATGCATCAGAGACTGAAATCAACTAAAACACATCCCAGGGATTTAGTATTTTAACGTCATGAACAGTCAAGGTGTAATACCACCATTGATTTTCCCCTATTAGTCTTTGTTAAATTTGCACTTTTCAAAAAATTGTGCAGAATTTATCTTTGTTTCAAATAAAGAAATACTTGGCATGAGTAAAGTTTGATCCTGTCCAGTACTATAGAAAAAATTTCACATAACATTTCATTGCATATAAGAAAATAACCATCACTGGAAGTTAACCAATCAAATTTTCCCCCTTTTTTAACCTGTATACAAGCTTTAGTAACCATGTAACCTCAAGTTTCCAAAATATTCTATAGAAACCCCAAATAAAAAAATAATGGTGCTTTGAAATACCCAAGATATATGTTTATGACCCAGAAATGTTTTACTGCAATGAAATGTAGGATCAATTACCTACAACTGTCAAATTCAAGGGAATATTTTTTTTCGACCTATTTTCGTATGCAACCGGATGTGACGTACTATGATTTGGTGGTATTACACCTAAAGAAGACTTTTTTGTTAAATAAACTGAATGTGACTTTTTTCCTTTGTTATACTGGTTATTTCAAGCATTCCTGTCAAGTTTTGTCATAATCAGTTCAATAGTTTGAGAAAAATCTAGTATAATGTAAGACGACATCTACAGCGATTCGAGCTAAATTTCTTCGAAAAATCCAAACCAAGCCGCATCATGATAGAATATAGTGTGAACCAATAAATGATCAAATATTTATCTCATCTGCCTACAAACAGTTGAATATGATACAAAAGATGACTTTAGGATGATAAATACTACTAATGGACCTCTTTGTCTTCCTTATAAGGTCTCATTTGGTCCATTTATACCTCTCATTTCCTCAAAATTTCTACTTTATAGGCCAATAAATAAAAATTTTGGGGTAACTTTCACTCATTTATCATAGAAATGTTATAATAAATGATTAATTGAAGTATTCAAGCTGAATGAACTATCCGTATAAAAGTTTACTGTCTCCAAGGAGGTTTCAATAAGTCCTTACGTAAAACTTAAATTTACGCCGCGTTCCAGAGAGGGACATAAAAAGCTTCTCTTTTGGTGAATAATTTGTTGTTACTGCTTTAAAAATAATTTCATTTACTTAAAACTATATATTTATTAAAGTATTTCTTAGGAAAAATTTTCTAGTATAGCAGAATATAAGAAAAAAGGAGAAAAAGCTCCCCAAAACTCTAAGTATGGCTTATTCTGTCAACTAATATTCATGGTAAAGTCCTATTTCAAGGAAATTTTCTCAAAAAATGTGTTTTGGAGACTCAATCCACTCAGAATATTTCATTATTAGTAATATTTCACTTAAATAGCAAGAAATTTTAACACATGAGAGTACTCACAAGGTCAAAGGTGCATGTACAGCTTCCCATATTAGGTGTAATACCACCATTGATTTTCCCCTATTAGTCTTTGTTAAATTTGCACTTTTCAAAAAATTGTGCAGAATTTATCTTTGTTTCAAATAAAGAAATACTTGGCATGAGTAAAGTTTGATCCTGTCCAGTACTATAGAAAAAATTTCACATAACATTTCATTGCATATAAGAAAATAACCATCACTGGAAGTTAACCAATCAAATTTTCCCCCTTTTTTAACCTGTATACAAGCTTTAGTAACCATGTAACCTCAAGTTTCCAAAATATTCTATAGAAACCCCAAATAAAAAAATAATGGTGCTTTGAAATACCCAAGATATATGTTTATGACCCAGAAATGTTTTACTGCAATGAAATGTAGGATCAATTACCTACAACTGTCAAATTCAAGGGAATATTTTTTTTCGACCTATTTTCGTATGCAACCGGATGTGACGTACTATGATTTGGTGGTATTACACCTAAAGAAGACTTTTTTGATAAATAAACTGAATGTGACTTTTTTCCTTTGTTATACTGGTTATTTCAAGCATTCCTGTCAAGTTTTGTCATAATCAGTTCAATAGTTTGAGAAAAATCTAGTATAATGTAAGACGACATCTACAGCGATTCGAGCTAAATTTCTTCGAAAAATCCAAACCAAGCCGCATCATGATAGAATATAGTGTGGACCAATAAATGATCAAATATTTATCTCATCTGCCTACAAACAGTTGAATATGATACAAAAGATGACTTTAGGATGATAAATACTACTAATGGACCTCTTTGTCTTCCTTATAAGGTCTCATTTGGTCCATTTATACCTCTCATTTCCTCAAAATTTCTACTTTATAGGCCAATAAATAAAATTTTGGGGTAACTTTCACTCATTTATCATAGAAATGTTATAATAAATGATTAATTGAAGTATTCAAGCTGAATGAACTATCCGTATAAAAGTTTACTGTCTCCAAGGAGGTTTCAATAAGTCCTTACGTAAAACTTAAATTTACGCCGCGTTCCAGAGAGGGACATAAAAAGCTTCTCTTTTGGTGAATAATTTGTTGTTACTGCTTTAAAAATAATTTCATTTACTTAAAACTATATATTTATTAAAGTATTTCTTAGGAAAAATTTTCTAGTATAGCAGAATATAAGAAAAAAGGAGAAAAAGCTCCCCAAAACTCTAAGTATGGCTTATTCTGTCAACTAATATTCATGGTAAAGTCCTATTTCAAGGAAATTTTCTCAAAAAATGTGTTTTGGAGACTCAATCCACTCAGAATATTTCATTATTAGTAATATTTCACTTAAATAGCAAGAAATTTTAACACATGAGAGTACTCACAAGGTCAAAGGTGCATGTACAGCTTCCCATATTAGGTGTAATACCACCATTGATTTTCCCCTATTAGTCTTTGTTAAATTTGCACTTTTCAAAAAATTGTGCAGAATTTATCTTTGTTTCAAATAAAGAAATACTTGGCATGAGTAAAGTTTGATCCTGTCCAGTACTATAGAAAAAATTTCACATAACATTTCATTGCATATAAGAAAATAACCATCACTGGAAGTTAACCAATCAAATTTTCCCCCTTTTTTA